TTTGAACAACAACCACCTAATGGGACCGATTCCAAATTTCGCAGCAGGCAAAGTTTCATACGCTTATAATTATTTTTGTCAACCCAAACCAGGGGTTCCTTGTGCCTTTGAAGTCATGGCACTTCTGGACTTTCTGGATGGATTGAATTATCCTTTAAACCTAGTTGAATCTTGGTCTGGTAATGACCCGTGTAAAGGTCCATGGCTGGGACTAAATTGCGATGCCTCCGGAAAGGTGTCCGTGATTAATTTGCCCAGATTTAAACTCAATGGTACTCTGAGCCCCTCACTTGCAAACTTAGTTTCACTTGTTAAGATCATATTGGGGGGCAACAATCTGAGCGGTCAAATACCTAGTAATTGGACTAGCTTGAGTTCTCTGACGCTGTTGGATCTCAGTAACAATAACATTTCCCCTCCAGTGCCTCATTTTAGCAGCAAGTTGAAACTTGTCGATGCTGGGAACTCATTATTGAATGGAAACTCAAAGGCCCCTTCATCTGGGAACAGCTCATCTTCTGGGAATTCTATTCCTTCAATTGACACTCCATCCTCGTCAACACACACAAATCGCAGTCCCAATACTACTTCTGGATCACAGAATTCCAGCAGGAAAATTTTGGTTGCAATTGTAGCCCCTGTTGCAGGTGTTGCGGCAGCAGCTTTTCTGCTCATTCCCCTGATATATTGTTACAAGAGGAGAAAAGATAGCTCACTGGCTCCGAGTTCACTAGTAATCCACCCTAGAGATCCGTCTGATCCAGACAATATGGTAAAGATTGCTGTAGCTAACAATACCTATGGAAATACGTCTACGTTAACAGGAAGTGGTTCAGGAAGTAGAAATAGCAGTGCAACTGGGGAGTCTCATGTCATTGAAGCTGGAAATCTTGTGATATCAGTTCAAGTTCTTCGAAACGTGACTAAAAATTTTGCCCCAGAGAATGAGCTTGGTCGTGGTGGATTTGGTGTCGTATATAAGGGAGAATTGGACGATGGGACTAAAATAGCAGTAAAACGAATGGAAGCTGGTATAATTAGTAACAAAGCGTTGGATGAATTTCAGTCCGAAATTGCAGTTCTATCGAAAGTTAGACACCGTCATCTAGTGTCTCTCCTGGGTTACTCTGTTGAAGGTAATGAGAGAATTCTAGTTTATGAGTATATGTCCCAAGGGGCTCTCAGCAAACATCTTTTTCAATGGAAGAGCCTTAAGTTGGAGCCACTTTCTTGGAAAAGGAGGCTCAATATAGCATTGGATGTTGCCAGAGGAATGGAGTATCTCCATAGTCTGGCTCATCAGAGCTTCATTCACAGGGATCTTAAACCCTCCAATATTTTGCTTGGGGATGATTTTAGAGCCAAAGTCTCAGACTTTGGATTGGTTAAACTGGCTCCTGATGGTGAAAAATCTGTAGTAACTCAGCTTGCTGGGACCTTTGGCTACCTAGCCCCAGAATATGCAGGTAATTCGCTAGCTGTTAAGATTATATGTACTTATATCCTAAAGCAGTACATGGAATCTAAAGTTTTATTTGTTTCTGTAAGGTGCATATTTCTTAGTAGAGCAGTCTAGACTAATTTATAGTCAGTGGATAAATTTTCCGCTCAAACTGTCTTGAAATTGAATTGGATTTGACGCTGTTAATGAAGTGGCAGAATTTGATCGAATTAAACCTCAATATACTTTAATCCTCATCTAGAATATGTTTCATATCATTATATCAGGATTAAATGTGAGAAAAATATGGTTTGGCTGCTCTTCGAGAATTTAATCATGAAATCAGTCATTAAATTTTGATAAACATTTTTGCTCAGTTTGATTAATCTTGAAAGTTGAGATACGCATGTTCACAAACATTTGGCATTCAGGAAAGACCTGGACAACCTGTGCAATTCTTTTTATCCAAAAAAAGTTCATTTCAGTAGCAGATTTTTAGAACCCCATGCTTCAACGCAAAGGGACCTAATTTACTAGGTACATATAAATATTGTACTAATTGAGCTTTCATCTATTGAAATGTTTCAGTGACGGGAAAAATCACAACCAAAGCAGATGTCTTTAGTTTTGGAGTTGTGCTAATGGAGTTGTTGACTGGATTGATGGCACTTGATGAGGATAGACCTGAGGAAAACCAATACTTGCCAGCATGGTTCTGGCATATAAAATCTGATAAGGATAAACTTACGGCTGCTATTGATCCGTCCCTTGATAAAAAAGAAGAAACTTTTGAGAGTATTAGTGTCATTGCCGAGCTAGCTGGTCACTGCACTGCAAGAGAACCAAGCCAGCGACCGGATATGGGCCATGCTGTAAATGTTCTGGCTCCACTCGTTGAAAAATGGAAACCCTTTGATGATGACACTGAGGAGTATTCTGGAATTGATTATAGCCTTCCCCTCAATCAGATGGTGAAGGGTTGGCAAGAGGCAGAAGGAAAGGACTTGAGTTACATGGACCTGGAAGACAGTAAAGGCAGTATCCCCGCAAGGCCAACGGGATTTGCAGATTCTTTTACTTCTGCTGATGGTCGCTAAAACAAGCGGTTTGTTTCTTCTTCTTCTTCTTCTTCTGGTCTCAACTGTCTAGTACGTAGCTGCAGGTAGCATGCTTTGCTGTGGCTAAAAACGCACTGCGTCAACTGTTTTGTATTTTGTATCCACTGTTTTGATGGTCGAAATCAGCATGAGATTTCATATGCTTTAGAAATCTCACGTGTATGCTTTGTATGTTGAACTACGAGACTCTCAAGTGTTAATGCTTGTAGATAGTCAGCCATAATCAACGTGTGTTTGCCATTTGTTCATTCATTAACGTTGTGTGTTCCTTTGTCATATGAATTGGATTGTGGAAGATGGAAATTTTCATTTCTTTTCGATCAGAAATTCTCTTGCCCTGTCTAGCTGAGTGGGTTGTCTATAAATATAATGGTGCCTCATTCACTACGATTGATGACCCAAGCAAAATTCGTTAGGGAGAATTACAATAATGTCTTAAGAAAATTTTTTTATTAAAAAGTCCTAATAACAACAGTAACAAGTTTCAGAATAGAAAATTATAATTTTTTAGACTTATTCTGTAATTTTTCTTTTTGGGATTTTATTATAATTCTCTTTGTTGTTTGTCTCCGGACTTTCATTCATTGACCATTTGAAATTTGATTTGGCCTGCAAGCTAATTTTCCATTTCCCCCCTTGTTGGAAAACAATGCATGCTCCCTTTGCTAATTCGTGCAAATGCCTCACATTGCACATTGTTTGGTTTAGCACAAGATAATGCCAGGTTAGTTTGGGCTTCACAGGCTATCCAGGCAAGCAAAATCGGAACAAATGGATATTCGATAGGATATTCGATATAAGACAGTATGAAATCCTAAAAAGGCGACGATTTAGTAATTACATCAGTTTCTATGTTTTTTTTAAACGACAATAAATTTGATATCTTAAACTCTTCTCTCTCAATTTATATGTGCTAATCGCGTTGCGATCGGGGAAAATAAAATAAAACACACTAATTGTGTTATGATCGAACAATAAGGTTGAGACCAAATGAATATATCATACAAAAACCTGTAACACCTGCACACGCACACACTAAAGAAAATTGCAATGATTCGTATGCATAAGATGTGAATAATAAAACCTACATGAATCTTTCACAGTGTGAGCAAAATGCAACTAAAAAGAAAAATTAATTTAAACATTTCTTTCCATTTAAATTTGAACTACCCTTCTATGGTGGTACCGCGAGAAATGAAATCATGGTTCATTGTCACTTTGACAACGATTTGACGCATTATTAATCCAATCTGCTTGGAGCGGCACATCGCGGGCAGGAAGTTGGTAGGGTGTTAAGAGAAGGAGACCCCCAAATTGAAAGCAGCCAGCAACGTTCTGAGCTGATTCTTGATGATCTGACTAACCTCACATGGCCTCCTCGGGATGTTCAAGTTTCCGTCAAATCTCAAGTAATTATTTTGCGCATCACTAACAAACACATTCACAATCACATGCTATCGATCAGCATGTGTTTGCCACATGTCGTTCGCTTCCACCAACTAAGAACTAGTGTGAATTCTGTGGTACACAATATTTGGAAAATGTTATATTATTTTCAAATTCTGTGGTACACAATATTTGGAAAATGTTATATTATTTTCAAATTCTGTGGTACACAATATTTAAAAAATGTTATATTATTTTCAACTTATAAAAAGCACGAATATAAGTATATAACTCGTTAAAGTTTAATCATACAGAGTCAAAAAGATATATAGAATAAAGAAGATATCTAATTAAATGATGAACTATGGTTAAGCTGGTAAACAAAATTGTAGAATGTGAAAATTAAAAAAAAAAAACCTCCATCACTAAAAATAACAAAAGACATCAAATGTTAATAATGAAAGCATAGTAAAATTACATAAATAAAATAGTCGTGCTTGTCCCCTCTCCCAAACAGCAAATTTTCATATTTCTCAATGATCTTATGGTTGATAGTTGATATCATGTGAAAAAACCACGTCCAATGACCTTTTTCAGTATAGGCACAGAAGAGACTGATCCCGTAAGTAAATATTTAAAGCAGAGAGATGTCCTGGACAGTTCATATCTTGGACAACAGACATCTCTGCAAAGACCCTGTAAGTAGTTCAGACCTCAGACAGTTGTACAGATTATTTCGTTTCTCTTTTAAACTCAAGAGAACAAAGTATAACTTTTTTTTTTCCTTTTGGTTTTTAGGCACATGTATCCTCTTATTAAAGGCAATTATATTCGAGGTACTGTTAGATATGAGTATCTTTCTCAGCAAAAATTTGAATAGTGTATCATATTGTGGGGGACACCACAGGTATCACTAATGTGTGCATGTCAAAAGACCACAAAAGAAAGAAAGAAAGATCTGCTGCGCATGTCAGATGCGATTGGGCCAAAAAGACCCAAAAAACCAAAAGAAGTTAGAAACCACCTCTTTTGCGGGCGGGCAGTAAGTGCAACCCTTCCCTAAGCTGAACATGAAGATATCAACTGAGCAGTTAAAACAAGCACATATACCATAATGAGTATTTCCGCAAGAATACAAGGGAGTATTTCCACAAATATTCAAGAGGAACAAAAAATATAAGGAGACCCATCAACAAGAATTTCCACAAAACTCCTACATCTCCTTTCCTGCTGAAACTTATCACTAACTACAATTAACTCAACTGTTGCACAGAAATTAGGAAACTACATACATGCATTATTGTTAGAGGAAGAGAAGCCCAGGAAGCAAACACTACGGCTTTCAAGCAATGACAAGCCTTTTCCCGAACATTTCTATTCAAATCTTCTACAACTATCAGGAACACAACTTCAACCAAGTGAGTCACTACTACAACCTGAAACGCATTAAGACAAACATTCTATTAAATCCAAAGAAAACTGTAGCATAAGGGGGATGTTAGATCCTCTGGTTTTACATTTATTTGTTTTGATGGTTCTACATCTTTAATATGTTGGACACCACAGCATAGAACATGAAGGCATAATAGAAGGTAACATTATATTTGTGTTTCTTATGTTGGGTGAAATTTTAAGATGTGAGATGTATGATTTAGCTTGATAAAGTAGAATGAGAATATATGACACTACTAAAATTCCTTCTGGGTATCTTAGGTGCTGCCAGGTGTCTTCATCACTACCATACCAAATAAACATATATTATACCAAGATGAAGATCAGTTCGGGTCCTCTATTTTGTGAATGTGGTAGCTGCTTTTTTCTTTTCCTATTTTTTTTTTCGGGGGTGGTGTTGTTATGTGTGTAATTATGAGATATGGATCCCAAGCACAATTGCATTCTTTTGTGTTACGCTTTTAAGCTCTTTTTTAATGATGAAGGGAAAGGATCTGATTTAGATAATTATGACACAATATCAAGGGGCTCCAAGGACAGAAGTGATATTGCCCATATAACTCTTGTCTTCACGACTCTGTAATTATACAAGAGAATCCATCTGCCTCAAACTTCCCATCGACAAGTGAATAATGTTTACAGAAATCATCTGAAGAGAGGAGATGCTGCCCCTCTGTTGATCTTGCAAGGTTAGCAACGTACAAGCCAAATTAAGACACACACATACACACACAAAAACAAACAAACAATGGGGGCTATAACATAAGGAAAGTTCATTTCAGCATCCTCACCCTCTGGATACATGGAAGATGAGGAATGACATCTCTAACACAAGCAAATGAACATTTTAAAGAATCTAAACTGGCGCCTTGAAGTTTTAAATCTACTATTGCGCTAGGCTTACCAATATCATTGGCATATGCAGTTACGTTTCTGCAGAGAAGCAGCCAACGTGAAAAGCCTGAGTAGTATCTGTGCTCTGGTCTTTTGAGGTGATGGTTGACAACAGCTTTGAAAAAGAAAACTGCCAATAGGCACGATGGACAGGAGGTAACAGCAAAGCTGACTGCTTATCCATAGCAAGTAGCAGAGAACACTTACTGCAGAAGCAGCAAAGTGAGATTCATAATTCTGATAACTGATATAGAAATCCAAAGAATTTGAAAACTGATACAAACCTGCAAGACCTTGTAAAAAGGGTCTGGTAGCTGCAAATCCAGTGCTACAACAAAAGAACCAGAAAGGTGAGAAAACCCAGTATCCATAGGAACAGCTACTGACGTGACCAAACAAAGCATTATCGTAATGCTGGAAACTTTGCAAAAGACAGTTTCAGTACCAATAAACAATACAGAGATGTTTCAGCTTGGTTTCCTAGAAAATATTGCAGAGCTGTAGCCGCATATTCCTATGACAAAACCAAGATGAAGTTATAATCACAAAGGCTGCACATTATAATTACAATATTATGAAATTAGCAACAACATCTGTTACCGTGATATGTCTATACACATGATGAACCGAATAACCCCTTGCATGTACATAGCTTCCACCCTGTTGAAGATTATAGACAGTTAGATACAATGGAGCAAGGAAACAAGCAACATAGGATGTTAGAATATATGGATGTCTTTCGTGTCACTTTAATTCAGAAAGGAAATTTAATTGAAAACCAATACACAGAGAGTTTCATTGTTATACCATACATGAAGAATTAAAATAGAGCACCTAATAAGACAGAAACATCACAAGTGGATGAACAAAGGAGGATTTTTTGTTTGGACTGAAGAAACAACTCTTATAACTGCATTGGAGGGCCACTAGTCCACATAACCATTTTAGAAGTGAATATTTTAAGAATCAGGAGAGGTGCTAATAGAAACCAAGGTCTCAATCTGAATATGAAGCCTGGTAACTACTGAATTTGATTTTGAGTTTAAGGATTGATAATAAATACACAAAGCAAGTCAGGGTCAGCCACCTAACTCCTGTAGCTTCCTAGTCTCTACTTTAAACTTTAAAATACAGTCTTCAAAACATAAAATAAATACAGGATATGCAGAAGAACAGCTTCAAAAGTTAGCTGCCATAAAAGCATAGCAGCCTATCGATTCTCTCCCTACAACTATGGCTTCAGGAGTGGAAGAATTACATATTTTCCAAATAGAGCAGAACATTGATAGTGGGTTGAGCAATTCACCTCATACAGAATGGTCAAATCATGCAAAATAACCAAAAAAATTTCGTATTACAAAATTCTCCAAGAACAAAGTAACAAGGACAAATTTCATAATAATATTATCAAGTGTACCTCATCTGGAGAGAAGAAAGCTACTGCATCAGGATCTATGGAGCCGGCAGGGTGTAAAGATACAACAGCTCTAAAGACAGATGGAAATAGCAACTCTATCACAGCAATTTTGTCTGCAGCATCAGTTCCAAATGATCCTGGCCTTAGGTTATTTGATCCATGGAAATTATGTTCTACAGAATTCTCATTTTGTGAGGAGGGTAGTGAAGGAGCTCTTTTTAACCAGTCCAATCGTTCAAAAGTTAAAATTTCCAGATTTGGCACTTCCTTTTCCAAACGCTTTAGAACATCTGGTAATGTACTGAGACTGCTAGCTTCATCTTTACAATCCAACATGATTTCTTCAGAACCACAATGTTTCTTTGAAGGTGTGTCATTATTTAGGAGTCCATCATCAAGATGAGGGAAGAATCGCCTTTTCTGATCAGTGAAGGCTTTGAGAGCCAACCTGAAATCATTGAGAAGCCTAAGTGAGCAATCAATGTAGCATAAATCAGTAACACTAGAGGCCCTGTTCATGAATTGCATGACAAAAGAGGAGCACAAAAAGGCTGCCGCTCCACTTTCTTAAATGGCCAATAATTTTAATTTTGTCACCTGAAATCTAATATAAATAAGCTTCAGTGAGCAAGTGATCAGTTTCTATTTGTTACCTCTTATAGGAAAAATTGCCATAGCTTTGTTACAGACTAACATTAAAGTATTTTGCACAGACTAGGTATAAGACAAATGATCTAATTCCCTCCTCAATTGATTCAGAGCATGCGTGTATAACTGTCTCCAATAGCATTCTGAATGCCATTACAAAAATTGAAGACCGAAGGTGTTCCCCAAAATCATGCAAAATATTCTTGAGAGGATTACAAAAGGTCTCCCGCATTGTACTTCCGCAACACACTTCATCGAATTAATTCCTTAAAATTCCTCCTCATTTACAAGCCGTGCTACTAACTAGCACAGTTTGTCAGTTAATCACCAATGAGTACTATAAGGGACTTTTGAAATTCAGGCAGCAAAATGTCGAACCAATTGCCATGCAACGAACCTAGTTCTGTCGACAGCAGAAGCCCCAGCTTGCCCCGCAAGCTGTCGTTTCCAAGCATATGCAACTACAGCGCCGTCTGGACAAACCAAAGGCATATGCAGACCCCAAGAATTACTTCGCGATCGAAGCGATTCGTTAAGAACCCCAGACTCTTCTAGCTGCCTTCCTACCAACACAAAATAACATAAAGATGCATTAGCAGAAAGAAAAATGTCAATAAACAACAACGACGACGTTAAAGCAATACTGAGAGTATAAAACCTAATCTTAGAAGCAAGAAGCCAAAGCTAAAAACAAAGTCATCCCCAGGTACAACTTAGTATCCAAGTGGTAGAAACAGAGTACCAAGGGAACGAAGGTCTTGCAGATGTCGACGCATGGAAGCATCTTCGTTGTGGAACAGCTGCAAAGGCTTGGTGCTTTGATGAGGCTGTGAGGCGATGAAGAGAGCTTCAAGAAGACGGTCGGCGCCAATTCTGATATCTGCGATGATTCGGGCCGCTTGGCCCAGCCTATCCATTGCTAGCGCCACCTGCTTCGGCGGAGCCTCCTCCGAAGGGCTTCCGGTGGAAGCAGGGGTGGGTGTTGAGTTAACCGTTGTCGTCACCGGCTGACTATGGTGCATTTGTCTGTTTACCAGCGATCGATCTCGCGATCTCCGTTCCACAGTGGAGGGGAGTTTAATTTGATCACGAGGCGGCCCGGAGAGCTTGGTTTCGATGTCAACTAGATTGGGCCCATAATCCCCTGTTTTGGGCCCATTAGTTGGCCCAAAATAATTCTACTTTTGAAGGTAATTAAATTATTAAATTAAAATGAAGAGAAAAATAAAGGGGAGAATTAATTTTTTTATTCGTGAAGCATGAAAAAAATTTCTTTCATTCACTTCCCTCCAAATCAGTCCAGACAAGGATAGTTGAAATTCCCTTCTCCGGTTCTTCCTATCCCCTCTCTTTCATCAAAAATCTTTCTCCCTTCTCCAGCCAAACAAAATGTAAGCATAAGATTTCCCCCCAAAATCTTACTTATTAATAAATCTTTCTTTTGCCAACTGTTGATGAATAAGAAATATTCAAAACTTATGATATGATTAAACTAGAATTCAACTATGCAAAAATTATCGGAAAAAAATGCAAAAATTTTAGTACATTTCTAATAACAATTTTGTTCCCCTTACATTCCATAAGGTCAGAGTCTCTTTTTTTTTTTTTGGCCAGAGCAAGTTTAGTTCTACTTAAAATTAACGTCTTTTTTCTAACATTTTTGATTTTGTTACTCAGAGCGCATCGTGCTTGTTCCTGCTCCGTCCAGTTCCCTCGTTTCGCCGCCACAAACTGACCCTTGCGGACGTTCATAGTCTATTAGTCATATACGTTCGCCGTTTCATCGTCTCCGGCACTTAGGAAACATAAGTGTCTTCTACTCCTCAATCACAATCACAGGTAGTTCCTTTATCTCCTTCTGTCCCTCCTGCTCGTATCATCTGTGACGGAGACTGACGAGGGCAATAATAACCTGATATTCTACCTGTTATTAACTGAGCTTCGTTTTAGTTCTCTATCCTAGTCTTTTGGCTTTATCAGCACAAGGTTTCTGTCATATTCAGTTGTGCTGTAGACATCTGTTTACCTTGTCTAGACCGTTAAAAGTTCAACTGGTTCGTTTGGGTATTTTCAGTGCATAGTTTGGCCCGAAAACATGACTCGTTCGAAAGCCACTTCAAAGAAAAAGCATGGCGTGGACTTCAAGGTACTAAAACACATTAGTAAAGTTCTTTCAGTATATATACTAAAACTTACTAGTATGAAAATTCTTCAAGTGCTCATTGATTGAACAATTTCAGAAAATAAAGCGAAAGATAGGGAGGAAACTGCCACCACCTAAGAACTCTACAAATACTGAAATTAAATCCAAAGGTACTACATTATTTCAGCTGCAATTTCTTTCTAGGTTTCATTATTGATATGACTGTTCACTGGTTTAATAATCAAGTCAATTTTAAATGTACTCTTTAAAAATGATTTCTTTAAATTTACGAATGAATTTTTTCTTTGGTTGATACTTCCAAGTTCTAAATGACTTTACATGAACTAGTTCTATGCTTACACACGTTTCTGGCAGCAATTATTTTGCCCGAGCAGAGTGTGGCATCAGAGAAGGGAGGCTTAGCAGTAAACAAGAAAGGCTTGACATTAAAAGAGCTTCTTCAACAAACATCGCATCACAACCCAAAAGTTCGAAGAGGTATATCCTTGTTGAATGTTTTGTCATCATGCTAGCAGGGTCAGTAAGCCTAAAAACAAATATTACGTTTGAAGCCAAGTTAATGTTGAAGGGGAAAAACAAAACATCAAACACTCATCAACACCAAATTAAGCCGAACTCAATGAAAATAAGTTAATTGGGATATGGAACTCAGGAATCCGTTGGTAATCTTTAAAAGCAAACTTTTTCTCTTGAGTAACAATAGAATAAATGAATTGTGAAAATGATGAATAGATGTTCCAGACAGGTCTTTTTCTCAACTTTCAATTTATATTGTTGCACTATTATTGATTGAGGTGCAAGTTAATTGGTTTTTTTTTTTTTTGGATCTTAGAGAATTAACTTGAATGGCCCATTATGATTGCTGCATGTTTATAAATCATCTTTGCTCTTTTTAATCAATTTATTGGAGCATGCAACTTTTATATTATTTACACGGTACTCAATGCTAATATAAGCCAATCCTTCCCCGTCCCCCTCCCCAAAATTCAAAGATGCATTGGCGGGTATCAAGGAACTGTTCATCAAACATCCAACAGAACTGAAGTTGCACAAGTATGCTGCTGTAGAAAAACTTCGTGAGCGCATTGGTGATGATGTCAAAGTAGTTCGAGATTCACTGTATGATCTATTTAAGTTAGTAATTTTGCCTGGCTGTGAAGAGGTATGTATAGGTTAATTTTCCTCACTATCTTTTCTCCATTGCTGAAATGGAAGATGGGTAATTAATAATCAAAATTAACTATTCTAACCTGGTATAGGATATATTGAAAATGAAAATTGTGGAAAAGTTGGTTTTCTTTTTGACAATCTAAACATTTATTTTTGGAATTCAAAAGTTACTCGCATAGTTGCATATACTATATCTTTTTGGATTAGTTGATTTTGATGCTCTCTTCAATCTTGGTTCTGGAGATATGACTTGTTTTACCTTGATGCATCTTGTACTCATTATAATTAATGCCACTGTACACTTATCCCTTTTTGCAATTGATTTACCTTTATTTTGTAGGATAATCCAGAGCTGGTTGTTTCCTTGCTGATGGCTTACATTTTCAAAGCAATGACACATTTAGCAATTGACATACGGCTCAAAGCTTTTGAATTCTTGGATCTTGTTCTTGAGTTTTATCCACCTTCCTTACCTTTATATGCTGAGAAGGTGACACCATTTTTCCTCTAGAAGATATATGGGAAACTGCTGCCTGAGATGCATGTGCATGTATTCTCTGTTGGAGAAGGGAATGCTAAAGGGCATTGACTCATGCTGTATTGGCAGTGGGCTGCTTTAATTTTGCCGATGTTCCTGCAATGAGATATTGATAGCTGCATCCATCCATGCCAATATTGATCTTTTTATTCTTTGGTGTAATTGTGTGGTTTAATTGGAATAGCTCTATTGGAGCTTTGTATTTACTGTTTCGTTGGTTGCATGATGAACAGATTTTCCAAAACTACGATGATATTCTTAGGAAGAACCAGTGCTATTTACAGGAGAAAGGGAAATTGAAGGTTGCTCTTGTTGGGTTGGTTCGCTGCTTGTCACTCTTGCCATGGAATAAAGGAGAAACTGATTTGCATGATAAGGTTTCTTGTTTTCAATTAAAGTAATGAACTCTTTGTTTTGGTAATTCTATGCGTAAGCCTAATTGCTGTTGGCATTTTAACAATATACTAGATTTTGTCAATTTGTACCTTTGAAAGCTCTAGTGTGAATATGAAATGTTTTTATTTCTTTGTCATTGCCCTTGCATGGATCTGGAGGGGGAGGGGTATTATGCAGATTTGTAACTTTGGCATATAGAGAATGGAGTACTTGGTGCTCAGAAACCCTTTAAATAAAATGTAATTTTGCACAATGCATATTATTTACTGGAATGATACATATGAAATTTTTGTGGCACCCAGCCTCTGAGATTGCATCTGGTTACTGTTTTTTCCACATCTAGAATTGCTTGCTTTTGTGCCACAAAAATTTTTTTTTTCTTTAATACTTTTGCATATTTATCAGCTGCTTTTGGCTTCACGAACTTGTCTCTGATGCTTTCTTTAATTTCAATAGAATGATGCTGGACAAAGGGTATTGCATGCTTTTGAGGATGATATGCCTGCAAGATCCACTGGTAAGACATCATAAATTTTAAAACAGATAATTGATATTTTGATGTTGATGAGTTTGAATAATTTTTAAGTAGAATTGTTTAATTGTTTATTCAGATCTGAATTCTTTTTGTTCAATGGAGACACTAATGGTCTGACTGTCCTGCTTTATGCTTTCTCGATTTATAGGATTTCCTCTTATCATAAAGAAACTGAAGGATCTTGTGCCAGTATTACTAAATAGTTTCCAGGAATTCATTCCTCAAGCTCGTGCTTCCCCAAAACTTGATGGGATGTCTTCTTCTTGTATGCTGTCTATACTTAACTGCATAGATATGATAATCAGGTCCTTTATTTATGGGAGTAATAGGGAGCAGTCAGAGTCCCAGAGTTCTCTTGGTGACCTTGGCATGATGATATGGGATGACGCTATTTCTTCCTTAATGTTGAGGAAATTATTTTCTTTGTTCCCCCTCAATCCTGTCCATAATCATTCAGAAAAGGTACTTATTTTTTGGGTTTGGTTTCTTAACCTTTTCTTAGGGAGGGGAGAACTGTTGATGCAATATAGGGTGTGGAAGATAAAATAGAATTATTCAGAATGACTTGTTATTCATCTTGAATATGTCTGTTAATTTGACTTTTTTAAATCAATTGTAGCATTTTGCTCAGCTAGGTATTTAGTTGCAAGAGCATGAGCAAGCGCAGCTCATGCTCTTGCAACTCAAGATGGAATGTTGGCCGTTGATATGGCATGCCTTGTGTTCCAACTTGACAAATATTTGATCACTGTCGTCACATATATTAATTTCCAATGAAGGTGTTCAAAGTTGGAAAAGTACCAGTTGACAGTCTTGTAGCTTGACAGTTACTTGGGATATTTAATTTGATGATGCGTTTCTGGGAGTATGACTCTTGGTTTATGTGTTTGTACTGGATACTTAAAAGTTAACAATGGCATGTGTTACAATGTTACAGCCAGTTTCTATGTGAAAATAAGCATACAATTGAACTTTTCTGTGTTGAAATACCCTTTATTTGTTGCAACCCCCCCCCCCCTGGGGGGGGGGGGAGTTCGTTCAGATTAAAATAGTGTTCTGGTTTGCACTCCCAGTGGATCTGATTCCTTTTACCTATGCTTTCCAGGAATATGATAGATGCCTTGAACTTAATATGGTTGTTATGAAAATATTTTTTCAACTCAATGAACGGATCTGTCTTCCTCTTGATTTGCTGGAGAAGTTCCTTGAATTTCTGGATAATGCACTGCTTGGGAAGGTTTGATGAATGCACCAATAACTTTTTGGAAGTTTGAGCTATTGAGTTATACAATTTGAAAGTGGTTGGACTTGTTGCTATGCAGGTTTGTGAAGCTTCACAGTCAGCTAAACCTGTCTGGGAAAAGCATTTAATTCAACTCCTTCCTTATATTCCTAAAATTGTTACTTATGAGGCATGCTATTGGACACCTCGTCTTCTTCAGGTTTGACATATGATTTTAAAGATTCTGAATATTTGATTGTTTCTTTTTAGATACCATTGACTGGGTTTTCTAACTCTTTTTAAATTGTGTAACTTGTTTGTTCTGATAATTAACACTTCTTGAATGCAGGCGTTTACACAGACATTCAGGGAAAGCAAGCCAGCTTCTTTATTGAAAATGGCCTGTCTTTCTGCAATTGAGGATATGCTAACTTCTGTGAGTTTGGCTTCATTTTTATCCCTAATAATTACTTCAAGTTGGAGACCAACAGATAATCAAATGAAAGCAACTTATACCTATATTTATATTTTGGTGCAAATTATAGATCCAAGGTAAGCTTCATCTAGATGCAAGCAGTCCGGAAAATCTTGAATTTCAAGATGCTTTGATTGCGTGGATAAGAGAGCTCCCTTTGCTGCTGGTCCAGATTGGTGATAAACACCCAGCCTTCTCACAGGTAATCACTAAATATGTGAAGTTTTCAGATGTAACTTATTAAATCACCTATTTACTGTCTCCTTGTCCTTAAGCATTGGATTTTGATTCAGGAAGTGTTACGTCTTCAACTCCACATTGGACAGCATGCCTTGTTGAACTCATCACTTGTTTGTGTATATGACAACATGCAGAACTCATTGCAGGAGTTTTACTGTGCATGTCAAGAAGGTTAAAAAAAAAAAAAAAAACCACTGTTAACTTACCTGTACTCTTATTTCCTATATTCTCATCATATTGCCTTTTCTTGTTGCAGGAAATATGTGCTATGGTCCCTTTATCAGGCTTCCTAGAGAAGTTCAAGAGCTCTCTTTGTGTTGCCTTTACTATTTCTCTCATTTGGATTCACATTTCTTGAAGACAATATCTTGTTGCTGCCTATGTACGTGTTGTTGTCCTCGGTACAATTGTAACTGGCTGTCTTGTTTTTTTTTTTTTTCTTTTTTAAAAAATTTCTTCATTGTTTGATCTCTTGATCGTGCATGATGATTAGGTTTTTGTGCTCTTCATTTATAGATTAGAATTTCTAAATTTTCACAACCCTGTTCTCTTGATGCTGTACTGTTATGTATCAAAACTAACGACGAGTAGTCTAGTATTACCTATGCCTCTGGCCTTTTCTGCTCGATACTCTTGGGTATTTGTGAATTTGCATTTATTTGATGACTGATCTGTGGAAGTGCTTATATTGTTTCAAAAAAATCCGATGAACATGTGAAAGCGGAATGTAGTTGTTCATAGACAATAAATTCGGAATCTGTAGCTGGTGTCTCATGAAAAAATGAATATAATTGTCTGAGTAGATTGTTTATAGGTTGCGTCAAATAGAATATTTCGGTTTTTCAATCTTCTTAAGGATGTGATTTCAATTATTTGAAATGTAGTATTTTAACTTAAAACGTGAGAGCCATGTATAATATTTGGAATAAAAAATTTAATTTGCGACTAAAGTCCTGGATTATTTGGTACAGAGATTCTGAAAACTGAGACACCTCGTGGAGTATTGAATAATTTGTAAGTTGATGCACCAACAAGAATCAATCTTACATTGATAAGTCATAACAATTAGTTATACCTTCTTACAGTAATTACACTTGCTATTTGTGTTTTTACAATATGTCCAACGTCATTAAAGTATGATGCTGATAAACAAATGCTTTAGAAGGTTTTATTACTTCTCACCTATGCATTTCTTTGTTGTTTTTTTGCTTTCTGTAGGTCCTAATCTAGATCCCCATGTGTTATTTCGGACAATTGAAGTTCTTCATTCAGCGTACAGAGCTGGACATGTTGATATTGCTGATCACTTGAGTTTCTTTATTACCTTGCTCTCAAGCTTTAAAGTTTCACACGGTAGGCCACAGATATATGGCGATTGGCACTCAGGTGTGGTTAATAGTCAGCTTTTTTGGCTTATATTTATGGGAAATTTTTTGGGGGATTTATTGACATAAATTTGGGCTTCTTGATAATTTACTAGATAATAACAACTTTGACTAGCATGCTTTACATGTTCTTGAGCTTGTGAATCATGA